AAATAATTTCTCCCAGTACGCCTCCTTATTTGGTTATGTTTGCCATCTCTCTGGCTATCCTTTTCCAAGTATTAGAAATTTAACTTAAAGGAGGACCAATTAAAAAAACTCAGGAAGTATTATACTAGTAGAAAGGGGCAAATACAGTCTGGAGGTGTAGGTTGCTAATTGTGATACTAGCACTAAGATCTGGGAATGTATTTGTAGATCAGGAAGAAGGGTTGCATCATGGCAGGATCAAGTATGGGAAAATAAACCACCCAATAAGACTCAGTCTAAAAATACCAGGCTTAGCAAAGGTTTATTAAAGAAGACAAGTGAAATTCACCTCATCATATTAGGCCTTTAAAAGCTGTGCAGAGTCCAATGAGATAGGTAACATCACTGCACTATTTAGGAGAACAAAGGGGAAAGTGATAGCATCTCTCTTTTGGGAATTTCATTAAAGGGCATGAAAATGAAATCACCACTTCTGAACAGTGAAGGTATTAATATATTCTGATTTCAGTTGGGGAAGAAGGTCCTGTAGATCACTATACAAATAGTGGCTTAGTACCATGTCTGCCCTATGTAAAAATTTCCCTATTCTACAACAACTGCCTTATATCTCTTTTGACCTCCATTTAGAGGGTGGCCAATTATCTTTCTATCCCCATCTTTAGTGTGATCGTCTTGTTCTAGACTCAGTGCAATTTTTTTCTCATCCAATAAGCACTGTGGTTGGATTAGAGAACATACAATTGGCAGGCTGTAGCAAGAATTTTTCATTCAGGGCAAAATGATATTCATAGTAATTAAACCATTTTATCCTTCTTCCTTAAGAACTGAAATCTAACGTGGATCTTCTCCACTAAGATGGTACCTGCAGAGCTGGGCAGAAGCAACCTAAAAGAACTGACTTAGCAAAAGGTCTAGAAAAGTCAAACTCAAATCGTAAGACTGCGTGGGGACAACTTTAAATATTTACTATCAACAGTGTGCTACTCTGGGTAGGGCAGAAGGAAAGTGTTAGTATCATATCTTTGTATGTTTGTTTTTGCAGATGAGAGAAACATTAAAATTACATTAAAATACAAATGATGATAGAATAGGAAGGAATCTTATTTGATGATCTACAATGAGAAGAACCACTTATCTGGCCTGACAAAGGACAGTCTTATTTTACAGAGTTATTGTCAATAGCTTCCCCTTCCATTCTGAAAAAGATGGTAAATTATATGGATATGCTATCTATTAAAAAATGCCCTCCTTTTACCAACAGGGAACTCATTTAGTTAAGTAACTTCTCTAAATTCAAATAAGCAAAATGGAACTGTGAGCACTTTGAGGGTAGGACTATGTCTTTTCATTTCTCCACGTCAGACCCAGGTATACGGGTTGAATGTATGACTAACTGCTAAATTGCCAGGCCATGACTTTGTTCACTTTATCATGCTACCCTCTCTAAGTACTGATAATTCTATAGAAAGAGTGCTAGGGAACCTATGGATTTCATGAAAGGGCAATAAAACAACTTCACTATTTTTGAACTGCCTAAGTCATTGCAATTTACAGATGAGGAAAAAAAGATGCTTTGAATGACTCTGCAAATTATGGTCTACTATTATCTCTATCCCAAAGGAAAATTCACTCATCCTTCACATCTGCTATAAGTCTATTTTTAGCCGCATGCAGTGGGTGAACAACTAGTTGTTTCCATCCCCATCCCTAAGCATGAGTATGACCATCTTGTTTCCAGGCTCAATGTACTTTTACTTCTGCTCATAAGTAAGCGCTGGAGTTGGAATTAACTTGCCATGGCAAGAATTAACATACCATGGTAAGAAATTTTCAGTTTAGAACTGAGGACGACAATGAGTAAGTTAAATCATTCTATCTGTCTTCCTTAGAAACTGAAATTGACTTAGAAACAACAATTTTCTTATGATTGATCTTACCAATTAAGATGTATTTAAAATGTTATTTAAAATTGTGTAAGAGTACAAAAAAGTTATTTTTAAATCATAAGTCTAGTTTTCCATGAAACTATAACTTTAATTATATAAATTTCTTAACAGTAATAAAAACCATTTTATTTCCAACTAAAAATATATAGTTTATAAAAAGGAATTAAAAAGTGTGAGTACTAATAGAAGTTTGCATATTAAAGGCAATTTCTTGAACTCTTTAATATAAAAAGATATGTCATACCCATAAAATTACTGACCTAGTTTCAAATGCCCATAAGGACGGCTAATCAATCAGTAAAATAGTATTGCACAGAAAAGGGTATGCATTCACAACTGAATTTTCATTTTTCTTGAAAAAAATCTACTCACTCGTTAATAATATAAACCAAAGTACTGATAATTTCTAACACAACTCCATCTTGTGCTTTTACCACAAAAGGGAAATATTTGTTTCTTTATAAGAAATTCCTAATACTTTAATAATTTATTTTCATTGGCATGTGTTCTGACAAGTTTTCATAATGAATTCAAAGAATAAATAAGGATGATGTATACACTTAAGATGAAGATATATATATATATATACACATGTGTATATATATATACACACACATGCACTTTTTCTTTGCTGGGTTAATCACTGATTTATATTTAATGAATGTTTTTCTACAGAAAGATATTGCCTCCTATATGAGACTAAAGTCAAATAATAATTTACTTTAAAAGTAATTATTGTCCCTTATGAATTTATCATCGACTCTTTTTATACACAAAGATGGCATTAGATGCATTGTCAGTAAGTTATGCATATTTAAAACAATTTTCCAGTGAATTTGTGCTGACTTAATTACTCTACTAATAAACATCATCAACTATCTTTCTGGTCAACAACATATCTGTAAGATTCTTAACTAAAGTTAAGTACCCTGTGATTATAAAATAAAAGGTAGGCAAACTGGCCCACATGAAATGACCCCACTTGTTCTTACTACCTCTTTCATCTATGAAGCCAAAATAGGTAACCAAAATTAAGTTAATATGATTATAAATTTAGAAAACTATCATAAAACATCTTACCCCAATGTACATTATCCCTTCATGTAGTTTTCATCTTTATACGATTTTGCACTGTATTACAAAATAATAAGACCCACAGTAGTTCAACAAATGGACGGAGACTCTTAAAGAAACAAATATTTCCCTTTATTTGATTGTATTACATCTACTCAGGGCATAGTCATAATCATCAAAATTCTCAATTGACAGCCTATAAATAATGCTATTTAACTGAAAACCAGCCAGCAAATAGCAACATATAGTTGAAAAGTTTACTCATGGAAAAGTAATTTCCATAGCAACTCAGTTTACTAGAGTATAACAGTAGATTAAGAATTATCAGCCTTTAAGAAGCAGAAGAGTAATGCTCAAGGATATTTTATCAATAGTGAGTTTGCCTTACTCCTTTGCCAGCTGCACACTGGTAGGTTTTGCTCCAATAGGTATCCCGTATTTGTGCAAAGTGTTAGTCAAAATCTCCCTCATGTCACTGTTGTAGGAATCAAAGTCAAACACGTTCCGAACCACACTGGAGAGACCTTCGGTGGGAAATTTCTGTATTAAGAAAAAAATCCCTCATTACATATGTGATAAAACACACAACATTATAAAGATTTACAAAACTGATAGAATGATAATGATCAAATGCACATTAGCAGAAATATACTGGCCTTGTCAGATAACTAGGTAGTAGGAATACAGACATTTTTCTCTTTTAACATTTGCTCAGATGACTTAACAATATATTTCTTTTTGAATAAATGCTAGAGTTTGAGGAGAAACAGCTTCTCTCAAATGTCACAGCAGTGCCTAGATCCTGGTGTTCAGTGACTGCCACTGCCTTCTGCAATCTCCTGTCTTTAAAATGAATATGATGGGCCAATTTAAAGACGTTAGTTAAGCAAAGGAGAGTGTTAAATATATGCACAGAAGTATTAAGAAAAGTCACAGGCTATGAATAAATGGGAAAAAAAGATAAAGGAACAAGAAAAGAAGGGAAGAAGAACATAAAAAGTACAGGGAATAGAAAAATAGAGACCAGCAGTGGGAAAGAAAACAAACATTACTACAGCTACATTTACACTGGTAGGGTCCTCTACTGGTTCTGCTTTGATCTTCTCTAGATGCTGGGATCTTAGCTGGTTGAATTGGGCTTACAGTTTCATAGGCAGAATAAAGCTTTCTATTTTTTTTCTTTCCAAATATATATTTTCTAACTGACAAATAATAATTGTACATTTATGGGATACAGAGTGATGTTTCAATGTCTGTATACATGATGAATGATTAAATCAAGCTAATTAACATATCCACCACTTCACATACTTTTTTGTAGTACAAACATAATCTACTCTCTTAGTAATTTTGAAATATACATTACATTATGATTAACAATAGTCACTATGCCATGCACCAGACCTCAGTGACTAAAACTGTGTACCTTTGACTAACATCTATCCCTCATCCCCCAACCTCCAGGCTTTCTGTTTTTCTTTCTGGGGTTTTCTTGGAGCGTTGGAGACGGGGCAGAGATCAAAAGTCATTAGGTTGTGACTGTTAGCCTCAAGACCATTATTTGTTATATAAGTAGAATTTACTTTTTTTTTACCCAAGGTGGACTACACATTGCACGTGGTCACAAGAAATTTAATTCTTCTGCCTACATACTTTATCTCATAAAACTTTCTCACAGTATTTACAGGTATATTAATCAATGCTGTTAGTTCCTACTCTGTTTTCTATCTCTATGTCATTTGTTCCAAAATAACAATGTTTTTCACCCAGATACCACATGCTTGTAAAAAGCCAAACCACAGAACAGGAAGGTTTCTCCTCTCACTCACTCTCTTGCCTCACCTTTCCCTTAAATATATCCGTCCACCAAATCTCCTAGCTCCTTGGTAATAACCATGGCACAGAACCTTGCCAAAGTTAATTCAAAGTGTAAACAGATAATTTTCATTGGCCTTCCAGATTTACAACAGATTACAAACACTTCATATCATGTCATCTGACTCATGATAATATTTATGGAAATTGAAAGACCTCAAAAAAAGAGATTGATGGCTTCTTCTAAACCTCTGTACACAGGTGTGTGCCATACCTGTAAATGTTTGACTATGTTGACAACTTCCCTGGTAGAATAAGGATAGTTAATAATCCCCTGGTCAGCCAAACTCCTCAGCTCTCCAAAGGCAGCCACAAGCTTCTGAAGGACGGGCTCAGGCACATTTGGTCCATACTGTCTGAGCATCTTGAGCTCTGAGTGGGGTTTGGGGTTATCAACTGCATGGCAGCTAAAAATATCACCTAAAGGAGAGAAAAGATTCACATTCAGCATGTAACTAATCCATTATAATGCCACAGGAAAAAATGGCATGGTTGTTTAAAGAGCCATTGGTTGCTCATCAAAGCACAGAACATCCATCCAACAACAGGATGGTAGAGAGAAGAAAGCAAATGACTGAAACAAAATAAAAGAAAACTGGGTAACGTATGGCTCGTCTGTATGGCTTTATTTTTGTTAACAAATTTAGATAATACTTGAATACATGCTTACAGGAAGATATTCCAATATGAAGAGAAAAAGGGGAAGTCTCCTTTATATCTCTGCCAATGCCACTCACACCCAAAAGGCATCCAGTCTTAACAGTTCAGTGCATTTACTTTTCCAGATCTGCATTAGTACTTTTAAAAAAATGCATCTATGCAAACAGATACAGCTTAGGTGATTTATTCCTTTTCCATTAATGGAAATATACTCTTCATATGGTTCGGAAACTGCCTTTTTAACCTTAACAAATGTTGAAAATTTTCAAAAATTATATACATCTATCTCATATAAATGCTTATATATGTATACTCAAAAGGGGGGAATTGGTATCATCACTCTCTAAACAATTTATATCTTGCGCAGATTGCTAGAATATACTTTAGAGGTTAGTTTTGGAAAAGTAAACCTGTAGCGACACTATCTAAATTAAAATCAAGAAAAGGGATCTGGTAACATAATATTTCATCTGTAATCTAAGCAACTGAGAATGTACTAGAAAAACATAATCTATGCTCAAAAGGATGAATTTCCCATGTTAAAAGTATAAGTCTCCTGATTCATATAATTCTACTGCTTCATAATCTAAGGGACCAGTAAATTCTAATTTAATTTACTTTCAAAGGAAGTGAAAGTAAATAGACTTATTAATATGTTCATTTTAGAAAATGAGCACATGTAGTCAAGTAGCAATAAGATCTTACTTTGATTTGGGAGCCATTTGAACAAACAGTTGTTGGTGTGCTTGTATGTGTTTTTGCATGTATGTGTTTAAAAGTAACTGAATAAAATGAAAGCCATAACTTAAAACTTTTATTTCCTAGACTATAGCTTTTCAAATACAAACGTAAAAAAAAGCTTTTGCCTTTTTTGCTGAAAATGAAATTTACACTGATATAAAAAGTTAACTGACCCCTCATTCGTTCATTCATCAAATAATTATTAAATGTCTTCCATGCACCAAATACATAGTACCTACCCCAGTAGGTACTTTATATATATCCATGATCAAAAAAACCAAAATCTTTATCCTCAGGAGTTTATATTCCAGCATAGGGAGATAACATGATAAATATAAGTATTAGAAAGGGTATGTTTCAAAGAAAAAAGAACAAGAAACATGGTACAGGATAGTAGAAATGATGATGGTGGGGGGAGATCAGTCAGGTAGGTCTCGCTGCGAAGGTAACATACCTGGGAGTACGTGAATGTAGATACCTGGGAGAAGAGAATTCCAGGCAGCAGGTACAGCTAACGCAAAGACCCTAAGCTAAGGCACGCATAGCTGGCACGGGGAAGGAAGAGGCAAGAGAGCAGAGTGGCTGCGATAGAATGAGTGATGCACAGAGCAGTATAGGACACGAGGTCAGAGAGAGAGGGAGACAAATCATATGGAACACTGTAAAGTGTTGGAAATACTTGTGCTTATGCTCAGAGTAAAATGGGAAGTATAGGAGGATTTTTTAACAGAGGACTGGACTGCTATGCTGAGAACAGACTGCAGAAGGTGTTGGAAGACTAATCTCTTGTGAACAGAGGCACTGATCACATTGACTACCTTTCCAAGGATGCCTGTAGAGCCAACAGCCTTGGAAGATAATGTCTATTGTTTCTCTTGTCTCTTTTTCTCCCTGGAACAAGATTAAGGTGTGCCTACTGATCATTATAAAAGATCTGGGCTACCTAAGTGCAGGGTTCCTCTCCTGGGAAGCATCTCACTGCAAGTGGAAGTATCACGTGGCCATCTATGTGTTGCCCTGCGGGAACTGGGGCTGGAGGAACCAGCACAAATGCTGACATTCTCACTCCTGCTTTTGCTGTGAGAAATAATCCTCATTTGTCTTTTGCCATTAGACTCTGGTACTCTACTTGGTTAGCTTAAAAGTAGGCTAAAATCTTAGATCCTTCACAGTTCATGAGAAAGAATAAGGGTGGAAGCAAGATGACCCATCTGGGGACTATTAGGAGTAATCCAGGTGAGAGACAACGGTGGCTCGGATCAGAATGGTGAGAAATGGAAGTGATGGGAAGTAGGATAATTCTGAACATATTTTGAGCCAGTAAGAATTTCTGATAGATGGAATGGAGCATAGGGGAAAGACAGAAGTCAAGAATGAACTTTGGCCTGAGAAGAATAGAGTTGTCATCAATAGAGATAAAAAAAAAAGACTATAAATTAATCAGGTTTAGGAGGAAAAATAAATCTGTTGTGGACATGTTAAATCTGAGATGCAGGAGCTATTGAACAGGCAGTTGGATTTATAATCATGGAGTTCAGGAGGGAGGTCTGGGCTGAAGACAAACATTTGGCAATAAAAGGCATATAAATGGTACTTTAAAACATGAAACATTCTGATTTTACTAAGGGAGTGAGTGTAGACAGGTAAAAGAGGACCAGGGCCTGAGCCCTGGTGCATTCTAACAAGGATCCAATAATGGAGACTGAGAAGGAGTGGTCATTAAGGTAGGAAAGAAACCAAGAAAGTACTTGAAGGAGTACTCGAAGTCAAGTGCAAGAAAATGTATCAAGGAGAAGAGCATGACCAACTGGACCAACTATGTTAAATACTGCTGATAGATTAGGTGAGATGAAGACTGTGAATTGACCACTAGATTTAGCAATGGAAAAATCATGGACAACCTAGATAAGAACTGTTTCCGTGGAGTGCTGGGAGGAAATATCTGATTAGAATGGATTTAAGAGAGAGTGGTGAAGAAATGGAGATAGCAAGTATAGACAACTCTTGAATATGAACAACTGTTGTGAAGAGTTTTGCTACAAAGAACGGAAAAATTTAGCAGTGGTTGGCAAAAAAGCTACAATTAAGAGGGTTTTTTTGTGGTTTGTCTGTTATTTTATTTTTTTTAAGATGAAGGAAATAGCAGCTTGATTGTCTGCTGATGGGAATAAGCTAACAGAGTAGGAAATTGCTGATGTAAGAGAGGGAGAGCAGAATTGCTACAGTAGCATCCTTGAGAAAGTGGGATCTGGTACTCAACTGGAGGGCCTGGCTGTAGTTGGGAGTGTGAACAGTTTGCCAGTAACGTGTGGGAAAGTAGAGCAATGTAGGTGGAAGACTTGGTGGTGGGAGTCTGTGGACATTCATTTATAATTGCTTCCATTTTTCTCAGTGCAGTAGGAAGCCAGGAAAAAATAACAGAAGTCTGTAAGAAGAATCAGTGAACTGGATGCTAGTTAGTGATGGGAAAGGATTGCAACTGGTAGGGAAGTTTTGTGCTTGTTCTAAACCACATTCAGCTGCAAATGTGTAGGCTCAATGTAGTCGAAGAGTTGGCAGTAACCAGGGCTAAGTGGTTCCAAATGCATAGGACAAGCTAAGGGAGGGACAGAAAAGCTGAAGAAATATGCAAGAGACTAATAAATGTGAATGATTATGGAATCAAAGGTAGGTAAGGAAAAAAAAAGCCTGAATAAGGGAGAAGAAAATATATCAGAGGTGGTAGCATTAATGGATTGGAGCTTCCAGTAGGTTTGAAGGGTGGTTGGATTTAGGATACTAGAGAGGGTAGCTTGAAAGATGGAGGTGGTGGGTGCATGGATGAGATGAAAATCTCAAGGACATATGAGAACAGAACCAAGAAACTGAGATTTAGAATAAGAGTTTCTGGTACTAAAACCAGGCTATGTCCACGGGAGTGAGTGGCTGAGGTATGGTGCAGGATAAGGCCACTGGAATAAAACATCCAAGGAGCCAAGAGGCCAGAGAGTTGGAAGGGTCACATGTGTGTACACTGCAAGCATTCCAAGAGGAAGAGTAGGGTTAGAGAGAATGACAGTGAACAAACAGCTAAAAATCACCAAGAAGTGACAAGGAGTAACTAGGGGTAGATGACAGCAACAAGTGGCTGTACACGATATAATCTGATGACATGAGATGTAAAGCTGGGGGTTTTTAGGGAAGAGGGAAAGAGAATGATGAGAAGCAAGAATAAGGAGCAAAGACTCTACACTTCCTCCAGACGCAATGTGGGAGAAAAAACTCTGCTGCTTGAAAGGACTTCAGTGGGAGGAGGGGATTTGGGGGGGCCAGAACTTTATCAGAGCTTTAACAGACAGTACAGTAGGTTTAGGATTTGGGGGTGGATGGAAGATGGAGACAGAACAGGAGCGTGTATTTTATAGGCAATTAAATAAATGTGATGAGAGGTGACTTGGGGGATAACGGGTGACCTATAAAATCCTAAACATAAAAAGAACTCCAACCTCTTTACATAAGAAACAATTACAGCTTCCGTTTGGTGTGTTCACATTACTACAGTAATACATGAATTGTTAATAACTTTTAAAGTAATATCTGTACATAGTAAAAATTGTAAAGATAGCACAAATGAATATATTATACACCCATCCCTGAACTCCATTGCAAACAACCACTTTTACCAGTTCCTTGTGTACTCTTCTGGAGAAATTCTATGCATGTACAAGTATATACATGTACACATATCCCTCCAGGAAAAAGGCTCTGGAATCAGATAGACTTAGATATGAAACCCAGCTCCACCACTCATTAGCTAAATGACCATCAAAAAATCTCTCTGAATATCAGATATTCTCCTTCTCTAAAATGGGGAAAATACTCTCCCAAGATGATTATGATGGTGGCAACAGCACATGGTAAGCATTCAATGATAGCCACACAGCCTTGTTACTAATATTATTATTCCTGCTATCGTTGTTATTCTTATCATTATTTTTACCTAAGGTACCGAAGAAATCATTGCCGAGGAAAGGAAATCCAGGTCTGTTGGCCAGAACAATCATCCTAAAATCAGGATGAATCACTACAACATTTTCTCTTCCATTCACATTAGCAGAATCTGAAAAACAAAATTTCTACTTATTCTTTATTGACATTTAATAAAATACCAAGTTACAGTCTTTAAAGTAACATAAGTAGTCATACTGTTCAATTAGAAAAAGCATTAAGATATCTGGTAGTGATAACTTGGTTGCAGGAAAAAAAAATTCTTTCCTAATAAAGTTTGTTCAAAAACGGATTGATAAAACATCTACTAAATTGCACAAGAACTCGCACTTTTATGTAAATTCAATGTACATCTTAGAAGCAAATGTGTCCAAATGTTGTCCTACAATGCTTAAAGCTGGCTTGAGATGTTATTATTTCTTAAAAAAATAAAAAAGATAAACATCTGTAACAAGGGATAATCCAAGCATCCTGAGTTTTTATCAAATCAGTAGCTGCACCCATCTGCACACAGCCTGCCATTATGTAGCTAAGGCGCTACTTCTATTTAGATCATGCACCCTACAACCTAAATACATAGAATAAAGGTCTTGAAAACCTATCAATTCATCAATGCAGTGTTGCTTTTTTCCAATCAGGGGATTCAACCATAGTTCTTAAAACAAGTGATCTCAAGTTGACTCAGGCTTTCTTTGTGCAAAAGTTTAAGGTATTAAAAGAACTGAATATTACAGTTTACTGGCTGGTGTACATTTCAGATGGAACTCAAGTCCAGACAATAATTTGAAAGAGTAAGTTTTATTATGGTTACTTTAAGAAGAACCACTGCTATCTGGATTTATTATATTTATATAATTTCTTACTTTTTAAAAATTTTTTTTAAAGGCTGGTTAAGTGAGGGAGTGGGAGTGGAGAAGGAACAAAGGAATCTGTAACTGGTTGTGATCAATTAATTGTAAACACCACTGCACTCAGACCAACCTGGATTTATTATATTTAAACTTCAGCCTTAGGTTGCCCATCTTCAAAACAAGACAGTTGTGAAGCACCTTCAGTTTTATTTGAGATGAGTTTGTGAGAACCTACATTCATAATTTTTTATGATACCAAAATGTAATCTTTTAATGTGACACATATTTATGTGCTAATACAATGAATAGTTTTAACATTTGATCCTCGCTAATTTTAGTAGTGGCAAATAACAAGGGTATGTGGCCACAGGCAAAATTTAATTAGTTAATTGAAACAAAATGACCATAAAAAATGAAAATTTAAAAAAGCAAAGAAATTGAAAAACAGCCCTTCAAGTGATGATTTATGAAACTATGTTCATAAAAGCTTCAAGTGCTCTTTTTTAAAATGTCATCTACAATCACACTTGAGTTCAAAAATTATGATGGCTATTCCTCAAAAACGTATCAGAAAATATAAAAGGTTACAAGGAGATAATTACTCCTTAACTACAATTTTATTTTGGCAATTCTTTCTTCCTTTTCATTTCACTGTCCTCATAATGTCTCTAAAAAGGGTACAAAGAATTCTACTTCTGAGAGTCTGAATGACCTTTTTTAAGAGAAAGTACTCAGGCTCACTGAAATTCTCCTTCTCTCATAAATACATTGTGAAAATCAAATATTAAAATATTTTTATTAGTGCTGAGTTTAGTCTCAGAAATGGCAATTTTGCAATGATAACGTCCAAGAAGAACATCTCTGTGGTGATGTACTTGTACCTTTTTAATGAGGTCTTCCTTACATGCTCTCTTCAAATATTGAAGATGTTAGTTATTAGTCTCAACTTCTTTGGTTACCTTGCTATTGGCTGTATATTTTCAATGGCTAGTTATAGATTTTTCAAGTCTTTTCAGAACACAAAAATTTGAAATTAGAAATTAGCAAATGTTCTCATATTGCATTAGACAAACTTAATTTTTCCTTGTAGGTTAAATACACTGATGAGATTCCTCTGGCTTCATTTTTTTGTAACGACAAAAAGGGTATGTGGTGAAGTGAAGGGAAAGAAGACAATCCAAAACAGAGGATAACTTCTTCCTGAGGTAAGGATGTGTGTAATATACACACGCACACATATTCACACACATGTATAAGTATATATATAAAATAAAACATCCAGCGTTTTTTTAATTATACAGAGTTAATGTTTTCATATTTTGAATAATAGAAACATGACAGAGTTTTTCAAAATTTCAGATTAACAATGAAAAAAAATAAATCACACACAAATAGTTGAGAGGTGAGTGTAAGGATTCTATGTTAGAATTCTTGAAGTAGAAAAATACGAAGCTGATTTGTCCTAATACGACTACTAAAATTTTCAAAGATGCTCTCCGGCTATAAAACTGACAAAGCTAGATTTGGATATATTAATTTTTGTAAATGATTGTCATAAAGACAATTTAAGTTATATTGAAATTATGCTTATTGCCTGTAAAGAAGTAGCAAGCTAAGTTTGTGACTTGATAACAGAGATGGAAAAATTGCACGTATTAAAGGAAACATCACTTTTTTTGTACTCACTTGCAACAATGCGTCTTCCATCTGCTAGAATCATTTCTCCATTTTCTACTAGAGTTTTTAAAATACAGGTGACATTTGTTGGGGCTTTGTCTGCTTCATCGACTACCAGAACATGACCCAACTTTACTGCTTTAACCTTTTAAGACAGAAAATTTATCATAAACAATAAAATGAAAGCAAGCATTATTAAAACTTCATCACTTACTGCTTTGGATTTATAACAGCTGGTTTTATTTAAGGTTTGAGTATACTATCACACACAAAAAAGTCTGTAGCAGAGCTGGAAAGAAAATTTTGGGATCTGCATCAAAAGTTTCACAGAGTTACTAAACTGCCAACTCTACAGTAATTTTTGTATTTCACTTTAGTATTGTATTAGGTTATTAAGTATGAAATTGTCCGATTTCCTTAAGTACTAAGTGTGATAGTTGATATCTCTGACATTTCACTTTGACACTTCTTGTTTTATCTTTATTGTGAAGGTACATCTTCATTCTTTCAAACACACAGTTTGGCTTGTGATTATCTTTCAAAATTTTTTTAGAGCAATTTCTGTAAAACAATAGGTAAGTCAAAAATTAGAGTTATTTTCTAAAACGAGTTTCGTCATGGAACCAATGCAGCGCACACAGTTTGAAATATCAAATAAGTGTTTGGGAAGGATGTGGCTAATGAACGCACAGTATGTGGATGGTTTGAGAAGTACTGTTCTGGTGATTTTAATCTTAAAAATGAGCCACGTGGGTGACCTGAGACCAAGGTGGATAAAGATGAGCTGAGAATTGTAGTGGAAGCAAATCCATCTCAACCTATGTGTGAATTAGCAGCAAGGTTTTGATGTTACTATTCCAACAATATTGGACCATTTGAAACAAATTGGCAAGGTAAAGAAGCTGGATAGATGGGTTCCGCATGAAGTAAATGTATCAGAACTGAAATCATCTTGAAGCTTGACTTTCTTTGCTGTCATGACATAAAGGCAAACCATTTCTACACTGTATTGTTACATATGATGAAAAATGGATTGTTTTCGACAATTGCAAGTGTTTTCAACAATGGTTGGATAAAAGTGAAGTGCCAAAACACAGTCCAAAACCGAATATTCATCCAAAAAAGCTAATGATGTCTGCTTGGTGGTCCAATGCTGGTATTATCCACTACTGCTTCATGAAACATGGTCAATGGATTACAGCGAATGTCTACTGCAACCAATTGGGCGAAATGATGAGGAGGCTTGTGATTAAGCAGCCAAGATTGGTCAACAGAGACAGGCCAATACTCTTGCAAGACAATGCTCGAACGCATGTCACACAAACAACGCTGCTGAAACTACAAAGACTGGATGTGGAAACTCTCTGTCATCTACTGTATTCACCAGATCTTGCACCAACTGACTGCCACTTCTTGCAGGCTTTGGACCATTTCTTGTAAGGAAAAATACTCAATTCTCAACAAGCTGTGAAAAACGTCTTTTGTGATTTCATTGCCCCTCGCTGTCCAGGCTTCTTCACTGCTGGTATTAACAAGATATCGTTAAGACGGCAAAACTGTGTCGACAGTTTAGGCGCATACTTCAATTTTCTTTTTATTTCAGCATATTATAGAGGTACAAATGTTTAGGTTACATATATTGCCCTTGCCCCACCTGAGTCAGAGCTTCAAGCATGTCCATCCCCCAGATGGTGCGCACCACACCCATTAGGTGTGTATATAATCATCCCCTTCTCCCCCCCACCATCTGCCCAACACCCAATGAATGTTATTACGACATGTACATTTAAGTGTTGATCAGTTAAAACCAATTTGGTAGTGAGTATATGTGCTGCTTGTTTATCCATTCTTGGGAAACTTCACTTAGTAGAATGGGTTCCAGCTCTATCCAGGATAATACAAGAGGTACTAGATCACCACTGTTTTTTGTGGCTGAGTAGAACTCCACGGTATACATATACTACATTTTATTAATCCACTCATGTATTGATGGGCACTTGGGTTGTTTCCACATCTTTGCAATTGTGAATTGTGCTGCTATAAACATTCAAGTGCAGATGTCTTTTTTATAGAATGCCTTTTTTTCTTTTGGGTAGAAGACCAGTAATGGGATTGCTGGATCAAATCGTAGTTCTACTTGTAGCTCTCTGAGCTATCTCTATATTGCTTTCCACAGAGGTTGTACTAGTTTGCAGTCCCACCAGCAGTGTATGAGTGTTCTTATCTCTCTGCATCCACGCCAACATTTATTGTTTGGGCACTTTTTGATAAAGGCCATTCTCACCGGAGATAAGTGATATCTCATTGTAGTTTTGATTTGCATTTCCCCGATGATGAGAGATGTTGAGCATTTTTTCATGTTTGTTAGTTAGGCGCATATTTTGATTAATTGTACTGCTTCTTGTTTGAGATATAAAAAACTTTTGATTCAAAATCGGATATTTCATATTTAAAGACCTAATATTAGAATTATTCCTAAGGTAGTGACACTCAACAATGTTTCACACCCCAGAGTAGGGGAGATTTACAACTAGTATAACAAACAGAGAAATGAAAGTACCATGGTGGTGAAGAGGAGTGAGACATCACTATCAATTGTGGATATTAGAATATTGCATTTATTATGGCTCATAAAAGAGTGTACAGTTTTAATAGATTAAAATAGATGGTGCTGAAGAAGTGGGTACTCAAAATAAAGAGAATCAATGGCCAGACTCAAGAAATCCTGGAGCATATTTAGGGAAGAGTGAATACGAATAGTCTGTGTTGGCTGAAATAGAGGTTAAATGTGAGAAAAGGGACAGGAAGGGGTAGATTGGGTCACTACTACTAAGGACTTGATTGCCAGACCAAGAAATATGTACTTTGCCTCATTAAGTAATGGGATGAAATTTAATATTTATGAGTTCAGACATGACAGAAATGGAGCTTGGAATTACACTTCAGGATATTTAATCTGGCAGCAATATACAGAGTAGACTAAAAGGGGATTACTACAATAATTGGCTAAGAAGTAGTTTAAGAATCTGAGTTTTGGGGAGACATGAAAAAAATGGACATAAAAAGGATTAGATTGATCTGAAGGGTTTTATAAAGGTAGAATCTATAGTCTTGGCAACTGCTTTGATGGGAAGAAGAGAAAGTAAAAATAAGAGTCTTAGGTGTTAGGTGACTGGGTAGATGGTGACATCATGAAAAGAAAGATAAAAGCTAGGAAAAACTTTTAAAAACATTTTTGAGGAGTGGATAAAAGAAGACACTCAATAAATTTAAATGTAAACCTAAAGATTTTTTTAATAATAAGAAGTATCTCATAACATAAAGTATACCATGTCATAAATTTTTCTGGTTGTATAGTCTGGCAAATCATTTTAAGAAAATACAGATTGAGAAACGGGTGTAACTTCTACCACAATTATTTTATATCATATTCTATTATAAAAGAACTGATAAGAATTTTTTTTTTTAGAGTAAAAATAAACTGAATTTTAAAAAAGAAAACATGTAGCTTCTATCCCCAATCCCATCTTTGTTCAGGGAAAATCGGGCCCAACCTAGAAGAATTCAGGCAGGAGATCCAGTCCCCAGGGTCTGAATCACAGAGGTTCCCATGATGGCTTATTTGTGCCATTGCTGCAAAGGAGTCATCTGCATAGAGGGACGTGCCTGGCAGGCTGAGATTTCTTTGGGTTTTGTGTGGGAAGCTGAGCACTGGATCTTCCCAGATGCCCAAAATACCGGGCTAATATTTTATTAGTTGGAGGTATTTTTAAAAACTTTTCTAGAAACATTACCTAATTTCAAACT